CTAAGCAGTGGTGGAATGCAGCCAAGTACATTTACTCAAGTACTGTAGTTAAGTGCAGTTTAAATGTACTGGTTCTGAGTATTTACATTTTTTACTCCACTTTACCACATTTAAAAAGGAGAAATACTTTTTATTTGACTACATTTATGTGTCAACTGTCACCAAAAAACCATAAGCTCAAAAATATGATACTCATAAACCGATCGACAGCAAATAAACTATTTCAATTAGGTCGACTAGCTGCAAATAAATGCATCAGTAATAATGTAATGTTATAATAAATATTAATACAAGACTAAAAAGGGACCATTCTGCATGTACAATTTTGAATGCAAGAAAAAAAAAAGACAAGTTCTGTGAAAGTTCAAATGGATTCCTGTTCAGAACATCCTTGACTTTATCCACATAAAACGTAACTCATTATTTTTAGAAAAATAGAAGTACGGTCAACTCCAATTTCCAATTCAGACTCCAATTCAGACCTTGACTGTAGCCATACAAATGTAATGGCTACATCAATTAAGCCATAACCAATGTAAAAGAACATCAGCAAATAACGAATTGGGTATTTTTTCATTGTGCTTAAAGAATCAGCAAGTTTCTTTCACCACTAATAAACGAGAACTGTGGGCAAACAATGAATACTTTATAGTCTTTTGGCCTAAAACAAATATTTTAAGTGAAACTTAGCACAAAACATTAACTTTTTAGAAGTTTAAAACCTGAACCTTTTGATGCCCTCTTCACTCCAACCTTGTATCCCAGCCCTTTTATATGTAACTGGTATTTGTTCCAAAACAGTCAAACAAAAATAATGCAGAATTTACAGAATAAAAATCAAAAGTTTTGACTTTGAATTGATGAATGCCTGAAGACTACAAATTCAATACCCGGTGATTCATCATTGAAGACATTTCCTTTTTATCCCGTTTATCTGAGCTCTCTTGACTTTTGGACTGCTTGTACATGATCAAACTTTAATAAAAATAATAATAAAAAAAAAACAACCACTACTGCATTTATGATTCTTTGGAGAATATTCCTCCAAACAGCAACACTGTATAACGCACATGAATGAGAATCATGCTCCTCAGAAGGGTTTTGATTGTTTATACCCAACTCCAACAGAGGGCGATGATGCAAAGCCGTTTTGGAGACACCTCCATCACGGGAACATTCAACTCTGCTGTCAAAATATCATTTTTCACTTTGGCTTGTTTGTGAAAGTCAGGAGGTAACACGGAAAACAACATCATTTCTGTTATGATTGCGCGGGAGGTCAAACTTACGATTATTTCTCCGCCAAGTGACAGTGACAGAGTCGCTCTACATCGCGAAGGAGCTCTCCGGAAGCGTAAAGGGCCTCCAATTTCTCTTACATTCCTCAAACTGACGTGTACATTGCTTTCTAAGGTGACATAAATGCCTCAGCCAGCAATATCCGGCTTGTGCATCCTCCTCCTCTAGCCCAGAGGAGCCTGGTAACGGCCGGAACGGCGACATGCATCAAACCGAGCCGAATTGACGCAGCCCGACACGCGTGACATTGATATTCATGGCGATCACGCAGGTCATTTAGAGTCGTGGCAGGGGGAATTATGCAGAAAGTGCAGAGTGGTGCAGATTTGTCAGACTAGGGAGCGTCTGGGACAAGAAGATGCCCTTGGATCGTCCCTTTAGTGGACTCCAGCATAGTCACAGGAGAGTGTGTGTGCACGTGCTTCATGGACGCGTGCCAATTTGTCATCATCTCATATGTCTTCATGCTGATGAAGGTCTCGTGGACCAAAATATCAGTTGCTCCTCATGAATATGTAAACAGGGGAGACGGAGGACGGCCACTCTGAGGAGTTTGAAGAATTTGTCCTTGTCGGAACATCTTTACACAGCAATCATACACTTTTTCCCACTTGAGGATTTAGCGTCTAATAACAAACAAACACAGAGAACCCGACGTTCAAAAGCTGTGATATACAGGAAGAACAACACAAAAAAAGAGGGAATCCTGCAGAAAATATGCAGCAACAAGAAAACTGAAAGACTTCTTTTCTTTACTCTCCAAACTTTCCCCGGCCGCTGAAGCACATCCTTAAATTTGATGCGCAACGTCAGATGGCTTTTGTGAAAAATACTGAAATTTGCATATTGCGCCTGACACAGTCATCCCTATCTCTCAGCAGAAATGTATCAGCAATGCTGCAGTATGGAGCAAATGGAAGCGATTCCAGTCACCACAGTCTGCTCGTGTCATTCTCTATCTAGGTCACACAAACTGGGAGACTGGCGATGCTAAATGGCATCATTACTCCTCTAAGTGCCCCCCTCCCTGCCCCCCTCCCCCCTTTTGACTTTTTGTGCATTTCTGTTATACTTTTCAAAATGCTTCTTATTCAGGATGGCAATTTGTAGAGCTGCAAAATAAAGGGAGGGAGGGAGGGAGTGGGTGGGGCGACTGGGACACAAAGTCTGAGCCTGATCTGATGTTCTGGGGGCTTTGCACTATTATCAAAAGGATCAAGCATCACATTCTTTGATCTGGAGTGATTTGGGGGAACTCTCAAGTGAGGTCATCGAGACTACAGAGGAGGGCTGGTATCAAAGTGATTGGCTTATGAATGGGAGCACAGTCCTCGCAGGAAATGCCAAACCGGAGTGGATTCGGGCTTCTGAATAATCCACAAAAAAAATCTGGCGATTCCCAAAATGCTACTGATGTCACCGAGTTTTATTTGGCTTGTTTTGGCCATCAAAAGGATTGCGGAGATTTGATCACAGCATTTCTATTGGGTCGTGTAATGGGTAATAAAGGAATGAAAGGAGACGAAAGCATGTGTGAAATGTGTTTTTTTGGCATCAACACGAAAGCAGCAGTTTGCTAGTTGTTTGTGGCTCTACTGCACCAAATTCTTTGTAGAATTGTGGGTAATTTGTGGGGAGGTACTCGGAATTACAGGTCAGAAACTTTCTGACATCTTTTGTACTGTATTAGCAAAAAAAATGAGGGCCAATATTTTGCTTTTTTTGTGCCTCTGAAGGTTTTTCTTAATTTTAGTCAATGCAACAGCAGTCAATCCAAAGCTGTTTGAGAGATGCACCTTCATTACTGAAGCTGCAAATTGTATTTAACTCAACTGTCAAAATCTAATTTCTCACTTTGGCTTGTTTTCGAAAGTCAGTGCATTTCTTATGCTTTGTGTAATGGAGAATAAAGAAAGGAGACAGGAGATAAAAGCATGTGTGAAATGTGGTTTTTGCAGAAACAACAGGAGCTTAGCAGAAGCGGCAATTACCAGTTGTCTGTGGCTTTATTGCCCCAATTTCACCATAGAATTGTGGGTAATTTGTAGCGAGGCTGTCCTCAGAAAGCTCCAATACTGTACCATTAGCAAAAAAAGAGTTTTCTTGTGTCTTTTTTCTGATCTACAGCACCTTAAACCCTTTAAACAGCATGTGATTTGAGAGAAATATACTGGTCACATGAGAGATCATCATCGTGTATTCTTATCAGGTGGAGATGTTTAACACAGGGAATGAAACATCACAACATGAGGGTCGTCCTGTTCTGTTTCAGTTTAAAAGTCACAGAGTTGGGACTAAATAGAAGGGAGATTCCTTTATAGTGTGCTGAGGGCTGTTTGACTCGGCGTGGATGAAGGTGGGTGGAAGAACCAAGGCAGACTCAGAGACCACAAAGTGATCGCTTTAAACTGAAGTTTCAGGTAACAAAAACTACTGAAGTTTTACTACAGCAAGAAAAACAAGTACTTTAGGTAGTGAACTATGACGTTCTCGCAGCCTTTAACTTAAATAAACTCTTAATTAGGATCCTCATCAGGTGTGCTCTCAGCGGTAGTCCACAGATGACATTGCACACAGGTGTGCTCCTCCTCCCCACAGAAAGCTAGAGAGAGAGAGAGAGAGGAGGAGGAGAGAGAGAGAGGAGAGTGTGTAGAGAGGAGAGAGAGAGAGAAGAGAGAGAGAGAGAGAGAGAGAGAGAGAGAGAGAGAGGAGAGAGAGAGAGAGAGAACAAAAAGCAACAACACTCATCAGGCATTACAGCAGATTCATACGAGACGGGAGACTTAAAAAATAAAATGGAACTCGCACTCACACAGCGACTCACGGGGGTGCGACTGTGACAGACGCAGAGACCACCGTCTGGTTAGTGTCGACTCCTAAGCGTTCTAAAAATGGGAAGTGTTTACAGAGCGGGGCCGTGTTCTTTATGAGTCTATATGAGCAGGTCGGGTCTGTTTCCAGTCAGACTCTTACGAGACTTATCTGCTTTCACTTTTCTCTCGAAGAAATGTGACGGATTGGTCCCCCGTTGGCACTCATTTAAGATCAAAGTGGTTCAGTGGTATCACCAGAAGTGCGCTTCTCAACCTGCCACATGGTGTCCATTTACCTGCTGTAGTTGCTGGTAATGTTGGAAATGAAACTCAGATGCTCTAGTTTGCTTGGAAAAATATTGACTTTCATGCCATTTTTTTTATGTTCACGCGCAGTATGAGTGACATTTTTAAACGTCCTCTTGGAATAACTTGTTATGTAAGAAACACATTGGCAGCGTAGCGACTTGTGTGGCAAAGCCAACTTCAAAACATCCCATAAAGATCTGAAGACGGGTTGAAAATGACCCAGCTTGTCTGCTTATTTTCCAATATTTTAGTGAGAAAAATATGATGTCTCCGGTATTCCTCAATAATCTTGTTTTCGACATCCCCACCATTGATTCTTTTATTTACCTCTTTTACTTTTTCAGTAAATAGTTTGTGTTTCCATAAGTGGAATACATTTTTCATTCAAATGAGTGAAGTGGACAGAAAATAAACATTATAAAATGGGACAAGGATCAAAAGATTAGCACACATATTTATTTTATTTTATTTTA